TAAAATATAAAAATATAAAAATTAAGAAAAAATTTAAAATTAAAATCGAAACTTGTGACTTTATTAACACCAAGTCATTTGTTTATTGAGTCACTATTTTCAATAACCCAAAATCTACTTGATTTTATTTTAAATAAAAATACATGTAATATTTATTTCTTCTAAAAAATATCTCAAAATAGATTTATATTTTTTAATAAAAATACAAACTTTAAAAAAATAAAAAAAATAAAAAATTATGAATTCATATGTGTCACTTTGCTACTGAAGCAATATCCTAGTACAAATCGAAAACCTTCTACAGTAAAAAGGCACATATAAATCCATAATTTTTTATTTTTCCCTTTTTTTAGTTTGTGTTTTTATTAAAAAAATATATGAATCTATTTTTGAGATATTTTTTTAAAAAAAATAAATATTACATGTGCTTTTATATAAAATAAAATCAAGTAAATTTTGAGTTGTTAGAAATAGAAATTTAATGAATAAATCATTTGATACTAAGAAAATCACAAGTTTTTATTTAAATCTCAAACTTTTTTAAAAAAAAATTTATATTTTCATATTTTAAGAATTTTTTAATAATTTTTTTGAGTTTAAATTTATATAAATAAAATTTCAACTTAAACTTTTAAAAAAAGAAAAAGATTTGCTAACATGAAGAGGAGGAATGTAAAGGAGAAGAGAAAAGATGAATGGAAGAAAAGGAAATAGATGACGGCTCTTTAATAATTTTGTAATTTAAATCGATCACGTTATCCACCCAATGTCATATCAGCATCAAGCCATTCCTTGATAACGGAGTAACAAGGATGTAGACGGAAAGATGACATTTGATGAGGTCATCGTCAGTAGAAGGGTTGATTTGCGGGTTTTTGTCAAGTAGAATGGTTGATTTGCACTACTTTTAAGTAGAGGGGCTGATATGCCACAACAATGGAAGTATAGGGACTGAATTGCACCTTCTGCCTTATGAAAGGGTAAGGAAATCGCTAAAACCCAGTACGGAATTCAGTAAACGGCGCCGAATAGAATGCAAGAACATATAAAATCACCGGGGAAGGGCGAGGTGAATAATCTATTACCATTCACACCCTCTTTTATTACATGGTACACTACGTGATTTATTGTCCATTAGCTTATTCATAGAATGTTGAAAACATATAAAAACCAATATTGGGTCAAGTAAAGTTACCAAGTGAGACATTAAAGTAATTGAGTATGAATATAATGTGAATAGATGTAAAACTTAATAAGTTGACTTTCATGATCCAATGCCCTCTTCCTTTAGGGTTTAAGGAACTCCAGCTCACCGTAGGATGGTAGCTAAAAGTATTCAGTCAATAAAAGCCGACGTTTTCGAATTGAACTAATTAGTTGCTAAGACACCACCATGCAAAATGTCATGAAAGGAAAGCATTGGGAAAGTATCATCCAAGTTCCAAATGTGTAACTAAAACTAGAGAAGTCATCATGAAAACCAGAACTTCTTTTTGGTTCTAAAGAGAGTAAAGAAGCTTATTGTTAATTGAGAAAAAGGCTTAAGCCTATAGCATTCGTACATAGTTCATGAATCCTCTACATCACCTGCATACATTTGATAATAATAAATGCTGGTATTGTAAATAGATGTGGGGGTTGGCAGGGTGAGATGGAGACTCCCGACCACGCCTTAAAATTTTAACTACATAGGTTGGGAATGCAGGCCCCACCTTCAGGGTTCTGCTGTTCTTTCCATATCCGTCCGGTGACTCGCAGCTTCAACTCTTTTCTATCCCCTCCGGAGAAGAAAAGTGCCATATTACGCTGTATGATTAGGCCATCGTGGCTGTCTCTAACCCTTCTGTGGCTATCTCTTATGCTTCGTGGAGTGCCTTCCCATGTGAGTTTCCGGCCATTGCCCCCAACTTCTAAGCTGTAACTGTAGTTCCGGGCTTCAATCTCATCACCCATGAAACGGAGGAATGCCATGTAAACGGGGGCCACTCCAAGCTGGAAGGCTTCAAAATGAAGACAGAAATACTGGCCAAAACAATGGAATACCTACAAATAACAACAAGAGATGAGCGAATCAGGATTGAGAACTGTTGATTCGATCAATTGCGAGGAACAGCCTCTGGTGGAGTTATTATAAGCCAGGAGTTCTATCATCATAAACATTTATCTTACACCAAGCCTACACATCCATCAGTTCTAACCTCTATTTTGGTTTTCAAAACCATCAAAGAGCTTATGTAAAGGCAACAATACAATAACAACTACTGTTACTACTCTTTTCTTATTAGCTATTATAACTTTGGCATCATAAACTTTACCCAGCCTAATAACATTCCATTGCAGATGTTCATCAGAAGATCTCGTAAAAACATGCATACTTACAGTTAACATCCATGTGGCATTTTCTACTTCCCGTGGATTAGACTTCACATAACGATGGTTAAATGTGCATCCAGAATGCATGTCAACCTTGTGATCATCCCTCAGGTGAGCAACGAGGAATGGGATATCACCAACAACAGAGCACTCTGATCCAGCATATGGGCAGTTGTATGGCCTGAAGTTACATATGGACTCATGCTTGAGTTTACTGTAGTAGGGGAAGATCTCTGGGCATCCAAGCAACATATATTTGCAAGGCAGTTCAAGGGATTCAGCTACTTTCTCCAGTGCTAGACACCTTATATCACCAAGCTCCTGCCTACATGTGGGGCATCGGTTATGTACCCTTGTTTTACAGGTTGAACAGAGTGTATGCCCATTGTGGCACTGTAGAACAACAAACTTCAAAGAATCACCAAAAAAGTACAAATACACTGGCGGTAAACATTAATGGCATTCCAAACCTTAGAACCTAAAGATGCTCCACATGGTCATGGGCCAAGTTTACCATTAAAACATTGAGAAGGATATATCACAAAACATACAAATGAGTTGGAGCAATCAATCAAGCATTGCTTCACAATCAAAGCCATCCTTAGTAATTAATTATCAGAACCACAAATGACAAAGAAAAAGGATTAAGAATAGATGAACTTCACCTAGTATTCTAGTTTTACTTAGACATTTCCACCAACACCAATAAGTTCAACACTAATAACTGCAACCAAAACCATCTCAATGTTCAATGCATAAAGGCTTCATCATATGTGTGTGTTTGAATGCGAAAATGTCTTTAATCTTTATGCACATACATGGAGATGGCCAAGGACAATTCAATAAGTTCTGTCACAATTGGACAGTTAGCCAAAGAACAAGTGCTTGAAGTGACAAGTTCCTGAAAATGTTGACAGCCACCTAGCAACAAGAGAAATTAAGCAAAAAAGTAAAATACAGGACCCACTGACATACAATATAATAGGTTGAAGAATCTGTGGCAGATATAATAGCATAAAAAAACTCAGTAGGTGAGAGGCATGGTTTGGGAATATACTTTGGCAAGCAACAAGGGTAAGTTCATCACAAAGACAAAGA